TTTTTCACAGCTTAAAAAATAAATTGAGCGATGTCTGCGGGTTTGAACAAAGAGCGGCGGGCGCGTCATGGTCAGTGAAAATCAGCGTGTGATTTTTGTCATTGATGTTAAAAAAAACAATGGGTATGACTTGTTGAACAAAAATAATTCCCTGCGCTCATCTATAATTTTAGTAAATATCTGAACAAAAGACAGTTTCAGACTGTGCAGCGCTGTTCGTATTACAGCCAATCATAAGTTGGATTGATCTGATTTGTTGCGGTTGTATCAGTAGGGACAGCTATGTTTTCATGTTTTAAAGGAGGGCTAATTTGTAAAATCGACTTTTGAGCTTTGTCTCGTATAATTATGTCATTCCCTCATCAAAAACATACTTGGATTTTTGCTTTAATACTTTTGTACATGTTTGAGAAATCAAAACATGTACCTAATCTCCAGTGGTGCCCAGATGCTTGCCCATACTAATTTTCATTTTCATTTTAGGTATGTTTGATATATACAGCATTTTGATAACACCTGAAGTTAACATTCTTGATTGTGCTATAAAATGACATTATGTGACTGGAATATACAAAATATTCCCTGTTTATGTGTGTCTGGAGTAGTTTTATGTCTCAGACAGGCGATTGATGGATAAAATTATGTTATAATCTTACATGTCAAGTCTTCAATAGTGAGATGTTTTTCTGTATTTCAGTGCATTTTTCTAACACATTTGCAGTTTAGTGAAAGTAAGGGCTGCTTCAATGTGTACTGATGTCATTGAGGTTTGCGCTCAAAGCCGTTGCTCGTTTCATTGTCCTCAGTTGACATTTGTAACCGCAAACACGCCGTTAAAGAAAAATACTCGTTTTTGGACGCTTGGCCGCGTCCCTCTCTGGACCTCTCCTCTTTCAAACCCGAGTCCTCTCCGGGCCGCTTCTGTTCTTTCTGCTTTCCGTCTTCTAGACACTGACTGTGTTGCACTGGGGTGGATCTTCAAAAGCAAAATAAGCTGCAGACAACAATTACAGATTATTATTTTAACTATTTTAAGTCAAAATGTCCTGCCATAAGTAACTTAGGAAGCAAATTCTTGCATTATAGAGTGCAACACAACATTGCACATTAACTCTGATCAATTTTCCAATTTGCGACGAGAATGTGAGTGAAACTGAGTATAAGACATTTAGTCCACAGAACAGGACAGGAAAGTGAGTGCAGAGCACAAGAATATGTTCAGTGATGACGACCTGATGTGAGGGAAGATGTTATTTGATCAATCAGGCTGGAATAAAGGAAAAGGAAAAGAGGAAATCAGAGCACTCTTCGAGTCATTATGCTGATATGTGGCTGAATGAGTGAATGAATCACTAACCATCAGAGTGAAAATGGTAAATTATAGGAAACACAAGTATCAGGTCAGAAGAGAAAAAAGAGAACATTTCAATGCCTTTTAAAATGAAATACTAACCGTAGAAGCTGTGGTTTAAGTAAAAATGGCAAAATAGAAAGAGCAAAAAAATAATGCAGAGTGACAGGATCAAGCCTGTAATAAAAAAATGTTCAAAAAAACCTAAAATAAATATTACAGACATAAAAATGTAAAGGAGAAAGTAAATTCAGAAGTTTTAACAGTGAGTTTGTTTTTAATCATCTGTTTGATTTAAATCATGTTTAATGTTTCACTTTTGTCTGAAGCCCTTTTTGATTTTCATAAAGGTAAAAGTGCCTCATGACTAAAATCTACATGCATATATAAGTATAATTTACTTATTGTTATCACAAATTTTGGACTATCACAAAATATATATAGATATATTTTAAAGTCAAGTCAAGCAGACAGGGCTCCAAAACAAATTACAAATCAAGTGATCCCAACTTTAAAACTAAGCAAAAAACAACTTCAGATGAAACATTTAAATAAATTGAAATGCCTTTGAAAACGGGGATAAAGACAAGATGCAGGTGAAGAAAAGGGGAATGATGGAGGGAGGGAGAATCCTAGACGCTGGAAAAAATATGTGTCAAATAAGTTCAATTAAAAGAAAAAAAATTGCTGCGCTGACTGTGGAAGAAACAAACTGTGAGTAAATATTCGCTTTGTGACACGAGGAGGCATTAAAGAGATTAGACTGAGGCTTGTTTAGTGCTGCGGCTCCAGCCGACTGGGACTATTTTACTGGCTGCCGTGTCATGATTCTGGCATGAAAGCAATTTTGAGTGTTGCCCCCGACAACATCGATAAGCCAAATAAAGGTACAAATGGACATGCTCCAGGAGAGGAAGGGGCGAGGAGAAGTGATCATGGAGGGATATGGGAATATCCTGCTGTAAAAATAAATACATAAAAATACAAAGGTAGAGATTTTTAACAAGAGAAAAGAGTCAAAGAAATGTTCAGAAATTGATCAAATTCGTCACGGTTTGAGATTTTAAAATTTGCAAAACAAAAAATGGCTGTTGATGTTCATGTGTCAGAGATCCACAAACACTGAAAACACCAAGCAAACTAACACCGAATCCCCTAAACAAGGGAATTTGTTGTTTACGCACCAATAAATGACACGCTATGAGCAACGATTATAATTGGATCATCTGAAACCTTGTGGGTTACAAACGACTAAATCTGCGTCAAATAGGATGGAACTTCTCCTCTGCAGGAGTGAAGGCAACAAAGGACAGTAAAATTAAAGCTGGTGCAAGGGTAGAAAAAAACCCAAGAAGACCAGAGATGTGGATGAAATGCCGATGAGGAGAGAAGGTTCACTTTGAGTTTGTGGGGCCAAAGCTCTGTACAAGGGAGCCATGTGCTAAAAAGAAAAGCTCTTGTATGAATGCTCACAGAGAAAGGCTGTAGTGATTGTGACCTGTTGTTTATTTTTACCATCACTTACAGTCAGATGAAGCACTAGGTAGTCGCTACGGCCGTCTGATACTAATGCTGCTTTTTGCGCCTTTGCTAAAACCTTAAAGCAGATTCATAAATTGTGTCCTCTTATCCTTAGTTAGATAACTAGATGGTTATCTAACCAACTAGCTAACACTACCTCGTGTTACCTAGTCAAAGTCTCTAAGATCAACTAGTCTATTCTCTATTAGCGGTTGTAATCCATCCACAGACTTTTCATTCCTGGCATTTAAACAGTGATTTTCTTCACACTAAAACCAACTCCTCCATCTCCCTGATGCTTTTCTACCTGTGCATCCACATCCACAGTTGCTCGATCTTCCACTCTGATTTTTTCTCATCATGTTTTTCTTTCTTTTTTGCCCCCCACCCCCCAACCCCGCCCCTCCTTTCCCTCTCCCTCTATAACAGTGTCAACCCTTTAATAATATACAAGCCCCTCGTCTTTCCTGGCAGCAGTGGCAAGATTCTTTACAGGATTAAATCATGGCCCCTCTGCTAATGAGATTAGCATGGCTAATGCACATGGCTCTTCCTCAGTACATTACTGCTGGCGCGCGGCCGGAGTTCCACATTGCGGTAGAGTTCCCCTGACGCCACGGCTGATTGCCCGGCGACTGAACTAAGACGGCCTGTGGTTCGACTCGGTCTCATCAGAAGGGATTCAAGGAGGGGAAACTCCCAGGTAACGAGTCTTTGACGGAGTATGGCCTGGGACGAGTAATTTCATACATGCGCATGCGAGGCCTGCATGGGGAGGACTTGGCATCGTCTCACAGCTTTCTGCTGTGTTTGAGAAGCTATAGGAGAACCTGGCACTACGAACTGGCAGAATGGAGAGGGAGAATATGGATGAAGATATGATGAAACAGTTTAGCTTTGCATCCTGGGGTATTCACAGACCAGACATGTTTACCAAAAGCCAGCCATCGAGGGGCAGAACATTATTTTATTTTAGATGTGACTTAACTGAAGCAGCAGGTAGGATATAAATGATAAATTGCCGTCGTTAGCAACTGTTGATGGACGCAAATGTCTACCCAATACACACAGCTCACACACACACCTTCTAAAACAATGATTTAGGAAAACTGCAGAAAGCCAAAAGGCACAAGAATATAATTACTTGTGTCATTGGTTAAATGGATAGTCTGTTTGTATTTCAGTAATGAAAGCAAACAGACTTTCATCACTGAAATTTGACTTTCATCACTAAATTTTATCATTTTTTAATCTGCTAATGAACTGAATTTCAGGAATACATCCCAGAAAAAGCAACACGGACGTAGAACTTAGCTTTGTGGTATTATTTTGTTAACAATAAAAAACTACTTAGTACTTTTTTTTTTTTTTAGAAAAGTGGGCACGACATTCACGACGCCACAAACACAAACATGGTCCTTGGAAAACGTTCCTGTTTGAAATATTCTTCTTTTTGGATGCCACTTAGTTAAAGAAGCGTGATTTAACCTGAACTCAGTCACTGTATTTAAACATGTTTTCACATTTCTCCTTAGTATCAAAAATAGCCAACAGACTCAAACAAAGCCAGATTGAATCATCCATTAAAAGTGTATCAGTGCGTCTCACAAAACCAGAGATTAGAGGACAAAGACGTTGTTCTGCTGAAACCAAACAGGTATAGCTCATAAACTGCTCATAAATACATTTCTTTCCTAGATGACAACAGATTTCATCATCTTCCACTGCAATGTTTTCAAACTTCACCATGACATGAGGCTGAACACACAGATCCATAGAGCAGACAGAAAAGCTCCTGCAGAACATTTTCTTCTTTAAGGCATCACTGGCAACAGTCGCCTTGCTTCATCAGCTGCACAAGTTGGGCCAGGATTGGTCAGAGCCCCCAAGAGACGCAAAACGAGTGTTGGGCTTATTGTGTTCTATTTCACGGTGTAGCGCCGCTGAATGCTGTCAGTTGTTCTTGCTTGAAATAAAAAAAGACTTTAGTGCAGGATCCTTCACCAGAAACATGGTGACCCGTCAAGCTCCGTCTAGAACAAGACCGTGCAACAGACTCCATGTCTCCCCGCTGGTTGAAATGACAGATTCTCATATTAGAACTAAATGTACAAACGGAGGAACTCACCTTCACTTGAGCTGGAGTTAATTTAAAACGTGCAGAGGTGGAGGCGTCCTGTCCGCTCGAGAACACCGCCTCCTGGTTACAGTCTTCTAACTTCTTTGGTGAAGTGAAACTCTTTCAGACTTTGAATGCTGGGTAATATTTTACCCCTCACAAAAAGTGTAATTATATCTAGAGGCCCGTGTCCAATTTGATCCGGTTCCGGTGTCCAAGGAGCTTCGGCAGCAACACTAACCCCTGGAAAAAACAAGAGAAAAGAGAGAAAAGAAAATGTAAGTAGGTTTTTTTTTTTTTGTTATTTTGTTTTATTTATTTATTTTGCATAGTTACAGAAAAGAAACTCAAAAGGAAAACCAAGTGTAACAGGGAGTATTGATTAATTATTTATTGTATTGTTTATCATTTATCGTGATAAGTCTGTCTGATTTAGCGATACATTTCAATTAACTACGTTTTAAAAAACCCAAAACAGTTTCTATTGTCATGCTTGTTAGTTTTATCATTTCCTTCACTTTTTGTTCCATGACAGTGTCAACGAATATCAATACATCTGAACACATGATTAAATGCAGTGACTGTGTGCAGCTCAGGGACACAGATCACACTTGTGACTGGTGTCCTTTAAAAAAGCATATTTGTTATGATTTTATCGTTGACGTGGCAGCACTACTAAATATCATAACATTCTCAGTCCATGTCAGCCGGCCCTGTTTGTGGCTTATTTCCATTCCAGTTCAAAACTGAAATTTGTCTCATTAAGTGTGCAGTGAATGTCTCCGCGTGGTGCCAGGAAGACGGTGTGGACCAGCCTGGGCTTTGAGAATAGTTCACAGCAGGAACAGTTCATGATTGTTGACGAGTGAGGTCATTTATTATTTATTCACTCATTTGCTTAGATTTGACATTCAAACTGGAAGAAGAAAAAAAAACAGCTCATACATTATAAGGATGGAGGGAAGAGTTTTGCACAATCATGGAAAATATTCACAGCTTGTAGCAACTTGTTTGCTAACAAATGCTGCAAAAAAATAAATAAATAAAAAATTTGTAATGTTAATGATAAAAGGAGCGTTTTATATGACTCTTGAAAACAAACACCAGACTGAGCAATCTGAGCAGATAAAAATCATTAGCATTATTCAACAGAATTTAAATACAGCATAAATGTTAGTATTTAATTATTATGACAAAGTTAGCACCATATATTGTTACTCTTGATATATGATCTTTTACCCCAGATTTATACAATTCTTACATTCATACAAGTGTTGAGGTAACGACTGAAACGTTCCTGCTGCCAGAGACGCTCTCTAACTCCGTGGTGTCTAAAGTGAAGCCATCTGCAGCCCTTAAATTGATTTGCAGCACCTGACTGTAATTAAAAAATGTTCCAAATCAATTTCACGTAAATGGAAACTTACATGGAACTAAATGGAAACTTTTAAAACCTGCCTTTGGTTGACCATTTTCTGATTGCGTAGAGCGAGTAGAACCACAAACAGGCTGAATTCAGCCGAGTTTGATGGAGGTAAAAAGGTTTTTCAGGAGGCTAATTTGGACTCGGAACATTACGACACAATCTGAACTGGATATGAAAGTAAATCTGTCAAACAAAATGTTTTCATGTAACTATTTTAGACTGTTCTACAGTTAATACGACAAATTATTTTCTGCATTTTTGTGAAAACGTAACTTTCTTAAAAGATGTAATCTTGGAACAAACATCCGAAGGCTTTCTCGACTCGACAGCTTTAAAAGAAAAAGGAAAATGATTTTTCCAACCCAGCCTGGGATTGTACAGTAATCAACAGAAGTGAGCCAGTCTCGGGCATCTGCCAATATTTAGCCTCTATCCAATACTTGCATTTCATTGTTATGAACAGTTGTGAACTGCAATTCAAGTGCATTAAAGCTATTAAAATCAACATAATGATAATATTATCCTGACACTTCTGTAGCTCCGAACGCAGCAAAGAAAAACTTGATTCATTCGGTACATTGCGTCGCGTATCAAAAGAATAAACAACAGAAACTCTTCATTAAGCGGTTCTTAAATCAAAAATATCAACCGCGTGTGGTTAAGTGTAAAGGGATGAGTCGACCAACAGTCAACATAATACAAGAACATGCCAGGATGCATGGGAAACTAGAGTGAAATGCGCTCGGGCAACTTAAATGTCACAGCGCATTAATGCAGGTCACCGTCGGCTTTCGTAACTTGTGAGTTATAGAGGATGGAGCTGGTGCAAGTGCTGGCGAGATATTAAATAGAAGGAACCAAGATGAGTATTTTTATCTCCATCACCCTGCGAGGCCTTTGGCGTTAAGCAAAGGTTAGAAGATACGGAGGGAGTCACATGAGGAAGACAGAAAATAAAGGAGAAAAGCAAATTAGATTGAATGTTAAGGAACGTGGCTGACTGTAATGTCAACAGGATAGCGGACCAGAGAACATGTGGAGAAGGCGTAGATGTGGGGGGATTTTTCTGTCATACTTTGAGAGCATGCATTTTCACTCTGAAAGCAGGATTTCATGTCTTTTGTTCTTAAAACTTTTAACTTTTGTGCTTACATTTTCACTTTGAAAGCAGGACTTCACATCCTTCTTCCCAAAACTTAGAATGTTTGTTCTCAAGCCTTTCTCCTCGCGCTCAGAACTTGTCTCCACTTGCAAAAACTCTCTGCTCGCTTACGAAACATTTTCTGCTTGCTTTTAGAACCAAAATGCACCGTTGCTTGGTAACCTCTTAGCCAATGGAATAAAAGTGTGATACTGGGTGTGTTTGTTTTCTGTAAGCAAAAGTATTAAAGATTTTGAGAAAAACATGAAATCCTGCTTTTAAACTGAAAATGTGTGCTCTTGAAAAATCCCCCCATACATAGAGGGATAAATAAAAATGCTAGAAGAAGAGCAGAAGGAGGAGGGTGGCAGTTTGGACATTTATTGGAAACCAAAAAAAGAAAGTGAAAGAAAAATGTGTTTATAGAGCTCACAATGACACCTGGTCATTATTCACACTAAATACAGCTGTGGAAATAAGCATCAGACAGGTCAATGTTTGTCCCCAGCAAATGTGTTTGTAATTGAGCTATTGACATGAAATTCACACCAAATGTTAACACAAGTAATTCACACAAAGAATAAACAAACTGTCTGTCAACTAGGTTATGTGTAATAAAGTGGAAGGCGGTGAGAAGAGAAGCATATGGTGAAAGATAAAAATAAAAAAAAAGTTCATAAACTTTGTGAACTTGTTTTTCAGAACCTACTGATGTCAATGAACAGCATCGGAACCACAATGCAGAATAAAAAAAACCAACATTAATTCACCGTAAATCAGTAAAGAGCATCTGTTCCTTGCAAAACTTGTGATAAATGAGTTAAAAATAGTAAAATTATCAGAAGAGCTTTCCAAGACCTAAGACCTGGAATTAGCATAAAAACTTACTCCCATTACAAAAATAATTGCATTTCTACTGACCATATAACTGCGCAATTTGACATTTTGAAAACAAATCCGCCTAATGGTGCTGGGATGAGGTGACAGTCTGGCCATATCAAAATTTGTGTATTTCACAGAACTGCAACAGAAACTTTTTTTTTTTGCATCACACAAGTCACGCAATCAACAACCGGAAGAAGATGACAGGAAGTAGTTGGTCGGACAGTTTTCAGCAACTTACTGTGTCAACAGACTTCCTCGCCGAAATACAGCAATTGCAAAATTGTGTGTTTTTGACATTAGCGGAAGACTTTCCATTGCAAAGTGTTGCACACATTTATAATGGAAACGCAGTTGAAGAGAAATACACTCAATTGGAATAGTGTTCAAATTCAAAACTCCACTGAAGAAGAAAAAGCATGTGGAAATTCAGTTAAAGGAGAAAAAAGTAGAAAGGGTTTGATCAAATCATTCATAATGAAACTCTAAAGTGAAATAATAAATAAAACATGCCTGGATATGTCCAGCAAGACAGTAAAGTGATCAAACACACAGAGAAAGAAACTTTCAGCTGGTTTCAGAAAATGAAATAGAGCTGCTGGAGTTGATCAGTCAGTCACCAGAGGTGCATCCAGATCAGTTCTTGTATGAACTGAGGATCAAAGTTCATAAAGAAAGTCCTCAGAAACTCCAATTCAAAGCCGTTTTGTGGACAAATGGGTCAAACTAAAATCTGTGAAATGCATTAATTACATTTCAGAAAGTGTATTCAGTTGTATAATCATTCAATGTACTGTCTAAATAATAGACTAACTTCTTTTGACTTCAGTGAGTTGAGTTGTTACCAATACCTGTTGTAAATTTTGTCGTGAATTTAATGTTAGCGTTGACATATTCAACTTGTTATGGATTTTTTTTTTTTTTTTTTTGCTGTGTATACTGAAATAGCTATAAATGGGATTTAGAAGCGCATTGACACAATCCCTTTCTTTTCCCTCTTATCTCTGACTGAGGAAGGGAGAGAAGAAAAAAACAGAAAAGAGTCTGGCTCGAATTCAGACAAGAACAAATGTGTCAAAATGAACTTTTGATCCACAGCAATGCCCACTGGTGAGCTTTAGGCTATTTTGTTTTGGGGAAATGGAAAAAGAGAGGAAGGGAACCCGGTGCATTACTGTACAGGACCACAGACGGCTGGATTAGCAGATGCAGGAAGAAAAGAGAAAAACTGCAAAAGCAATAAAACATTTAAATTAATTCAAGGAATATTTTTCTTGCACTTTATTGTGAGATGAATCAGAGGAAGAGGACTTTTTGTTTTACCTATCAATTTTCCTTTATATTTCATCAATAATACTACTTCATACAATTACAATATAAGATCACATTTGTTGCATTTTTGTGAAACCCATCTTATAGCATAATCAAGTATTTCTGTTACCTTCAGTTGTTAGGAAAATGCTATTTGTGTTATTCAGGTACAGCCAGATGGTTTCCACAGGAGATTAAAGGATTTCTCAAACAATGCTTGAAAGAATCAAAGCAACACTCCAGGTATGTTTTGATGAGGAAAAAACATTATAACATGATGTCGATTTTACATGATAAGGTTCTTTTCTTCTGTGTGTGCTGTGACGCTAACCAGAGCTACTTATGAACTTGTCAAACATGAATAGAAGTCAAAGATAAAACTGTTTAGCGCTGTACTTTAACTATTTGATTTGAGTTGGCTTCTGTTCAGCGAGCCTCTGACCTGTAACATCACCAACCACGCTGACTGCCGTGTCGAGTATGAAAACTGACCAGAAAGGATTTCATTTCCTCTGCATAGAGTTCGCCAACAGTAAAAAATGTCACCCGGTTTTCCAGTCGACTGCCAGCCGCCACTACAGCAGACAGCGAGGCTGCAGGAGAAGAAGACGCCTGCTGCCATGCAAACATACAGTCTGTGCTCACACATGTCAATAGACAGAGGGTCTGTAAGAAGAAGAAAACGTGAGAGTGTGGGCTTTGAAGGAGAGAGAACATAAAAAAGATTTACATTGTGTTGGGGTTTGAGGAGATGGCTGCATGTTTCTCATCAGCTGTGAGCGGAATCCATTTGGTCTGTCGCTTCTTTCCTTTTTCATCTTCACCTCCTCCCCTTTTTCTAAATTGTCAGTGGCTGAGTGAAAAAAAATACATAAAAATTAATGCTGCAGCTTTAATGTGTTGTGGTGATTCAGCCGTCTGCATTTTTTTTTTTTTTAAATATGAGTGGGTGAGCAGATGACATTTGGATGGCTGCCACACAGTCAGAACACATTGCATCTGTGAGTATTAATGGGGGGGATTTCTTTTTTTTTAACACTCGAGGAATTATGAGGTGTTTTACCATCTCAGAACCGGACTGGTCGAAACCAGTTCGGCCCGTTTGTCAAATAAATAAAATTGATTTGATTGTTTTCTCTAAATCTATGAATAGTTGTAAACTAGTTTTTAACCACTTAACTGCCACCCTAAAAAGGTTTCTATGTTAGTGAATGGGTTAAAAGGTTTTCAGTGGTGAAATTCAACTGCAGGGTCCAAAAGATTAGAGGAAACAAAAATTCTCCTTCTGAAAATCAAGAAGCACCAGATTGATATTTGAGATTTCCATTTTCATTCAAATCATCCTTTCATCTGCACAGTGTCATTGTGTAACATGACACTGTTTTTTTTTAAAAAGTAACTATAGTGGATCATTAAAAAGTAAAAAAAAAAAAAAAACAATTCCACCCTCCGTGAGAAACTGTAAAACTGTAAAAATCCAAATATTCAAATATTTTAGAAAAAAAATCTAAAATATTTGAATATTTTAGACAGAAATCCACAATTTCACCACAAATAGGCAGAATACTTGATCATTTACTAATATAGTATGCACAAAATCCCATTTAAAAATTAAACTAAATTAAAGCCTTTACATTGAGTAGATTCTACTATGACTACAATAAAAAATAATTACTGTTTAACAAAATCAATGACTAATTTTCTGTAAAATAATTCTGACTAAAGCACTTTCTGTTAGGAAACTCAGCGTACCTAACATCTTGTTTCCCTGGGCCTTTAAGGGGAGGGATTATCAATGTCAGCAAGAGTAGGAGCTTCTTAAAGAGACAGAGGCTAATTTCAATGTATCACATACAGCAATGATCAAATTTCTTTCAAGTCATTTTTGACATACACTGTACTTTCATAACAACTGCAGGTAACAGTTACTTGGAAAATACACAACACCCGCCCTTTATCATCAAACAATATCTCTCATACCACGCTTCAAGACGGGAGAGAGAACAAATTGTGGATTTCTGGTAAAGCAGAAATGAAAGACAAGATACTGACAGACTGGAAAACAGGAATCAAAGTGATGCAGGTAGAAAAAGGACAACATGACAACACTGCGAGAAAATATGAGCAGATTGGGAGGAGGGAGAGAGAAGAACAAAAAAAATAATGCATTAAGTCGGCGGAGGACGGCGAAGGTGAACAAAGAGAGATGAGCAGCTATTTGGGTAAACTTGCATAAAACAAATGACTCAATGGTTTAAGAAGAAGGATATAAAGCTGCCAACGCACATCTAATGTTCACCAAGAGCTACACGTAGTGGGAAGATGAGATAAAAGGAACAACAACAACAAAAAGAAATGGAGATTTTATTCTCAGCTTGTTTGGTAATATGGAAAGAGTTTCTGACATAACAGATGAGATAGGATACTTTTTCTTCAGAACTTGCACATCTCTCCTGTTTCTTGATGGGGTTTTTTCTTTTGCCTTTTCCTCAGCTTGTGCCTGGATAGTGAGGGTCGTTAGTCCTTTGTTAGCCCTCAACACAGCTGTCCAGAGTTTAGATTCCCAACCCTGCGACCTTTTCTGCATCTCTTATCCTTTCTCTCTCTCTCATCTGAAACATGGTGACTAAAGGCCACTAGCACCAAAGAAATCTCAAAAAGGTGAAGGCACTTCAGCAAAGAAAAACAAATTACCACAAAAATTCCTCTATTCCAATTCCTTGTACTTTGCAGAGAACACTTTACATTTATCAAATGATGGCACGATCCAGAATTTAAAAATGTGATTCACTGCTGATTACATTCGGCATTGTGCAGATAAAAACAAGATTTAAAAAGATTGTTTTGACGTGAAGGTAAGCTGCTTGGTTTAAAACGATTGTCTAAAAATTGATGTACCAATGACATGGTGAGCACCTTCTGCTTGGTTTTAAATTCTCACTCAACTTTAGAGAGACCTTCTCTTCCTGAAAATAAAAACAAACTAGGTTTTGTCTGCTCAACTGGTTTGACACATTGCTGACTTTTCTGTCTGACAACATAATTGTAATATTACTACATGCCCTGCATTGCATGAGTGATGGATATGTAAAAATTACATAAAAAAATAGCACAAAAATAACACTGAAAATAGCAACAAATAAACCAGTTTTACCAACATTTAATCAAGACGTGTAAATGATTCACTGTGATGTGCATTTTTAGACTTGGTAAAAGCACACATGGTGTCTTTGTGACCCCATCAGACCGCAGAGTAAAAAACTCATGGTGTCTAAATGACCAGGTCTCTTAATACCATAAGAGAGTTAAAGACAAGGATAAAGTTGTAATTTCATAAAATTCCACAACAAAATGAGAAATGCTATACTATAATAATATTTATAGTAAATAATAAAGACTTTATGGTTAGTAATATAATTAGATTGTTGTGTTACTACCCTCAGTGGCAGGCCCAAAAAGATGCAACTAAGGAGCAGATTTAGAAGTTAAAAACTGTGAGCTGTGCTGAAGTAAATAAAAGAGAGAAGTTCAAATACAGACTGAGAGTGAAAATCCAGAACACAACTGATCCTCAAACACAGCTGATCTACAAACACAGCTGATCCACTTCAATCACGTCACACCCCTGCTGCGGCCAATCAGGATCGGCACCCTGCGCGTCCCAGCCAATCAACGTCAAGCCAGTCCATTCAAAAAGTCTAGCCTCCGGGGATCTGCCTGCTCGTCAGCTGTGCTTCACGTTCTGCTGATTTGCTTCCAAACATGTCAGATTACGATTCAGACGCTCTACCTCCCTCTCCTAACCTTTTTCCCGGCGATCTATGGGACCCCCCCTGCCCCTGGCACGTCGCGCAGGAGCGCCGGGCTAGCCGCCCGATCCACTCCTGTTCCCCCCTCGGCCTCGCTCTCCTCCCGTGGCATTTCTCCTGGCCCAGGACTCGAACCTTCCCAACTGGCTTCCTTGCTTCACTCCTGCAGTATGACGATTCCTCGCCCTCCCCTCCACGTCAACAACCCCCGCATGAACAACCCCGCAAGAGATCGCAGAAAGCTCCCCCCCCTCCTCCCAAACGACACCGGGCGCGGCCCCCTGCTACTCGGGCTTCGGAACCAGTCTCCCCGGTCCCCTCTACTTCCCAAGCCCGATTTTCTGCCCCTCCTCCTCCGGCAGCACCGGCCCCCTCAGCATCCACAGCCACCTCACTTGATACTGTAAATCAAGACCCGCTTTCCTCAGATCCACGGCACCTCACCTCGCTCCTCATTTCGTCTGTAAGCCTTCTCCAGCAAACGGTGGCCTCGCTGCCAGCCCAGCTCCAGGATCGCACTCCGTCCGAGCCGGCTCAAGCCTCAGTCTCCGCCAGCACCTCTCTTGTCATCCAGCCGTCACAAGCGCCTTTCACTCTCTCTAACGCATGTCCTGGAAGCGCTTCAGGCGGGTCCTACGTTCCCACATCCGCGCTAATCACTCCTAAGCTCAGATCTAAGATTTTGCAGGGGCAATATGTGAATCTCGTCTCAATCATCCTCCCATCCCCCGAAGTAGACCGGAGCGTTGCCTCCACAGCAGAATTCTCAGCCGTCCTCAAATCCAGTGATCCTCGCCTCTCCAAAAATCTCTCCATCGGAGAGTTTCTGGCAGCTTTCAGTGTTTACCGCGACGTAATATGCTCCGTTTACCCAGACCGCAGAGTAGAGCTCGACGGTTATCTCTCCCTCATCGCTGATTTGCACCTCAAATACGGCAGGTCTCTGTTCTACCAATACCACACAGCATTCGCTGCTAAAGCTGCAACTACTCTCTCCCAGTCTGGCATCTGTCTCAATTGGTCAGTCCGAGATACTGAACTTTTGATCATGCTCACCCAGGCTTCCGTATGTCTTACATGCTCCACTGTTGGACACCACAGCGCCCTTTGTCCCACAATTCCATTCGCTCCTCCCGCCCCCCTCCCCTTCTGTCCATAACCAGCCAAGCTACCCCGATGTTTGACCGCAGGGGCCGAAAGATTGAGGTATTCAAAAACCAGTCAGTGTGAAACAACTTCAACGAAGGCATTTGTGTTTCTCCTAATTGTATTTTCCTCCATGTGTGCAGCCATTGCAAAGACGCTCATCCCAAATTCACCTGCCCACGACGCCTGCCTCCCGGTCGCATCCTCCGTCAATTAAAACCCTGATTTCCCGTTGTCTTTCTACTCAATCCTTACTCAAGAACTGGCCCTTCTCCTTCAGTCCCACCCAGATCCCACCTTCGTGAACTTTCTGCTCACCGGACTCACGCAGGGTTTTCACATAGGTGTTTGGTCCTATCCTCGTTCCACACTCTTTGTCGGAACCTCCGGTCAGCCCTCAGTGAACCAGATGTCGTAGCTCGTTTACTTTCACGCAAAGTCTCTAAGGGTTATATGATCGGGCCGTTCAGTTCATCCCCTTTCTCCCCATTCCGCCTTAATCCGCTAGGTGTCGCCACCCGCAAGTACTCAGGAAAAAAGCATCTCATTCTTGATCTTTCCGCCCCCCACAGTAGTCCATCCCCCAGTATTAACAGCCTTATTCCTAAAGAACCCTTCTCCCTCTGTTATGCTTCAGTCAATCACGCCATTTCTCTCATTAAAACAGCCGGGTGCGGCGCTTGGCTCCTAAAGCAGACATCACCGATGCATTTAAAGTCATGCCTGTCCACCCCTCCGACTGGCATCTGCTAGGTCAGGGGTGGGCACTCCAGGTCCTCGAGGGCCGGTCTCCTGCAACTTCAACACACCTGAGTCAAATAATGAGGTCATTAGCAGGACTCTGGAGAACTTGATTGCATTTAGGAGGT